TATCCCCATACAGCCTGAAGTTAGGGATGGAGAGGGGAGAGGAGGAAGAAGCATCTTGTTTCCAAACTGTCCTGGGGCAGCTCTGAAGCCTTCTCTTCCTGCTCTGCCCCGACCCTCTACCATCTTTTTTTTTTTTTTTTAAACACAGCTAATATACAGAAGTACACAGCACCTATCTGAGAGTAAGACAGTATCCATCTTCACTAACTGGTATTCTCCCCTCCAGGCAAAGAGGCTCTCCATGAGTACCTGAAAACAAAGGCAGTCACTCTGGAGTATTAGATCACCACCGGCTCTAGAATTCCTCTAGAGGTAACCTCTGTCACTGTGTTCTCCACCCAGCGCTCGACAAGACTCCTGGGAGTGCTGTTGGAACAAACATAACCAGCAAAAAAAGACAGACGAGATTTCCTATGATTACAGTCCCGTTCACCTGCATGGGTGTGAGCCTGAATATTTTTGAATATTTTTACACTTGATAACTAATTACAGCAATTTTGTTTCTACAAGGTTGTACATTAAACACATTTATAAGGGATTTCAAGTTCTTTGAATTTTAAAAACCAATCCAGCCTTGTTAACTCCTATTCCTTCACAACCTGTGGTACCATAAAACTGTTCACCAATTGACAAAAGTGCCCTTAATATCGCTTTTGTATGATATGTACAGATTGCAGAATCTAATCCGCACACTAAGTTGCTAAAAGTATTTTCTACCTCTTTGGTACTAATGAGCAGTAATAAAGAATGTGAATGGTGATCATATAAACCTAGAAATCAAAGTATCTTTGTTGTGTTGAGCACTCCACGGTTATATCATCTTTTGCCTGGGTATCGTCCTCTGCCATCTTGTAAGATGTCAGGTCCCTGGGGACCAATCATGGGCCTTTCCTGACCCCAAAGTCCTTTCCAAACCCCTTTCATGGCTGATATTTGAGAGAGAATAAACCATTTCCTATCTCCATCATAGGACCCTGAGGGTGGGAGCCCCAGCCAAATGGCATTTCCTAACTACGGCTCCTTCCCAACTGCCTAGGATTGGGGCACCCCTCTCCTGAGGCCAAGAGGCTGCTGCTCTCTCTTCCCAGGTCATCTGAGTCTGCCTGGCCATCTCAGACAGGAATCCCCAACAACAGATATACCTTCACCTTACAGCAGGCATTTACGAAGTTTCTATAGACACCCATTAAAGATCTTAGCTTGAAAAGGCCAAGGTCTCCCACTGCATCGGGGGCCATCTCCAGTCTTCCTGATCTACATCTGACCACTGGACCCAGATGACTCTGGAGGGAAACAGTGAGGCTGGTGACTTTGCCCAGCCCTCCCTCACTCAAATCCACTCGCAATTCACTCGCAAGTCGTGGCATGACCTTCCTGATATCATGGTCCTCTTTGAAAATGGAGGACAAACAACAATGAAGTTATTTATGTTATTTATGAAGTTGGCACTGTGGCCAAAATAACCTGGCTCCCTTTCAAATGCACTGCCTTCCTGACCCTCGTCTCCAGAAGATGGACCTCCTCTCAGGCCCCATCACGTGGAGACTGGAGAAGGGCGAGGGTCTTGCTGCCTAGCTCCTCCTGACCTCCCCTCAGTTGCTTTTCTTCCTTAGAGGTTCACTTCATCTAGTCCTGGGTTTCTTAACCATTTCTGTGCCAGAGCCCCCTTTGTTAGCCTAATGAAGCCTATGCATCATGCTTTTAAAATACGTACAATACAATACATAGGAACACAAGGAAAACCCATTCTGTTGCCAGGCAGGCTCTAGGCAGGAAGGCTGTGATCACGTGTGATCTGGGCAGAGACAGTAGTGGGAGTCTAATAACTAGGAGTAATTTCCAAGTAGAGATAAGTATAAATAATATTTAGAGGTATTTGCCACAATTGTAATGTATACGAAAACATTTGTGATTTCTACTGGTGACAGTTACAGGTACTGTTCATGTGACTGGGGTCTGTAGCCTGCCTTCATATCTTGGAGATGTGACATTTAAAAAGGTCTGAGAGACATGCTTTCTGGGTAATTTAATCATTTTATTAATAAGGCCAGCAAATTATTAATAAAAGGCTGGTCATTTGACCATCTCTCTTGGACCAAAGACCCCCTAATGGTGGTGGGCTCACAGTTTAAATGGCCTTCAAAGAGGTGTTCCTGAGGGGTGACAATCAACTCGAACTGGTTGACACAAAGACAGGTGTGGGCTATGTTAAAATGAAGGTCTTGGGATCCGTGACTTGGTCACTCAAATCTTGGTCAAAGTCTTGATAATAGGGAGAATCAATCTTCCCCAAGACCTGTCTGTGCAAAGACAACAAGCAGGAATATACATTAGCCCTTACTTAGAATTTCTTTTACTGCGTGGTTAGATCTTGGCCTGGGTAAATTTCTAAGAGAGATTTCCCACACTGGTTGGTTTCTGGATGAGGAAACAGAAAAAGGGGAAATCCTTGGTCCTAATACGATAATTAGTTATTAAATATAAGAAAATATTCATTTTTCATAGAGAAATGCTCCATTTCAGTTAGATTTTTGGCACGTACAAAGAGGACCTAATTGTTTTCCTACCCAAGATCATGTACACCTTGAAATCTATCCACAGAGCCCTTAGGGCAGAAGGAAGAGGAAGGCAAGGTTAAGAATCACCAGCCAGGGCAGCCTTTTCCATCTCATTGCAACAGCTTACACTTTTCTTAAGGAGTTTGGTGCCTAATTTATTTTATTTTATTTTCGTTTTTGTTTTTTGCTAGGCAATAGAGGTAAGTGACCTGCCCAGGGTCACACAGCTAGTAAATGTCAAGTGTCTCAGGCCGTATTTGAACTCGGGTCCTCCTAACATCAGGGCCGATGCTCTATCCACTGCACCACCTAGTTACCCCTGGTGCCTAATTTAGTGTCTTTCCTCAACACCCTAGCCTCCCAGTTTATCAGCTTCAATTCCTTGACTTCTATCTTCATTTTCCCTGAGCCACAATCCGAGAGGGACACACCATTGCCTAGAACTACTCTGAGTTCCACGATCTCATCTTTCCTTCCCTAAGCTACTTCATGGTCCTTGTGGGAGCCAACTCCAACCGTCCTGATCTGTATCTGGCCACTGGACCCTGATGGCTCCAGAGGGAGGAAATAAGGCTGGTGACTTTGCACAGCCCTTCCTCACTTAAATCCTATAAAACGTCAACTGTGGACCTGCCCCTGGTGTGAGTAATTTCCTAATGCACAGAGTTCAGTTCTTCCTATAAATTTCCTCCCTTTTCTTAAACGAGATGGGAAGAAGTTAGGGGGACGAACTGTTCTCCTCTACCCATTAGTGCCAGGAACTGAATTTTTCCTGACCTATACTTTAGATTTAGGGAAAACCAATGTCAGAGTGTGATCTCCTGGCCTGAAATTCTACAGATGAATTAGAATCCAGGGGTATGGGCTACTCTCAGACACATTTTTGATGACATAAACCAATGAGAAATAAAGCAGAAGTTCTGAAGAGATACAGTGCTGGTCTGAAAGTTGGAAAAGCCTGAGTTCAAATCCTGCCTCAGACACTAGCTGTGTGACCCTGGGGAAGTCACTTAACCTTTGTCTGCCTTAGTTTCTTCATCTGTAAAATGGACGGCATAATAGCACATACCAGAGGGTTGTGAGGATCAATTCCACTAGGCCACCTACCTCCCCTGTGTAGGTTCAGGAATACACCTGTAGACAATATCATTTGGAGGAAAAAAAAACCCAGAGTAATTTTGGCAAACTGCTCAGTATGAGTCAGCAACGTGAGACAGACAGGGGAAAGTTACTGGGCTCTTAAGCTGATGGTTGCTCATGTTTACCAAATGTTCTTTACTTAAACAACCTGGGAGGGTAACTCATCAAAGCATACCAGCCTGAACCAAGGAGGCAACAGTCCCAGTGGACTTTACCCTCAGACCCCAGACCTCAGCTGGAAGGACCACTGAGCTCATTTTATCAATAAGACAATGGGAATCTAAGACAAGTGACTTGCCCAGGGACACTTATGAGCTGTGTGTCTATCCACATTTAGGAAGGCTATTAACAAGATGGCTCAGGGAAGGCCTTCACAGGGCAGGAGCAGAGAGGAAAAGGAAATGTGCACCAGGCCAGCGGAACTGCTTATATAAATGCCTGGTGGTTGGACAGTCCATGGAGTATCAAGTTCAGGAAATAGCTCATAGTCCAGTTAGGTTGGCGTGCAGAGTTCATGGAAGTAGTACAAAATGAGGCTGGAAAGGCTGGTGGGACCCAGACCGTGGAGGACTGAAACACCAGGCTGCATTTTTATTTCATCCTGCAGGCCAGGGATTCTTAACCTTTCGTATGTCACAGACTACTCAGAGTGTATTTAAGTACATAAAATGCATAGGATCACAATGGAAACCTATTATACTGAAACAGTTATCAAAAGATTTCAAAAGACAAGTTCATGGATGCCAGGTTAAGAACCCTTGCTGGAGACACTAGGGAGCCACTAAAGATTTGTTGATTGGGGACTGACATGATCCAGTATGTGCCTGAGGCAGAGAGATATCTGACTTTGGGTAATGTAAGACAGACAGGCTGGAAGCAGGGAGCACAATCAGGAAGCTACCAGCACAGACCAGTTTAGGGAGGAACAAGGGTCTGACCTTGGATGGTGGTCTTGATAGAGGGGGTGGTTCTAGGTTCTAGATAGGTCATGGAGGGAGAATTCTCCAGCCTGGTCAAGTGTTTGGGTATGAGGGAGAGGGAGAAGTCGAGGGCCACTCAGAGGGTAGGAGGCTGGGGGACTGAAGGACGCCTGAGTGTCGATCCAATCTGGAACACGACATCATGGAGCCTGCTCTGAGGGACAGCAGGAGGAGCGCAGGCTGGTAGTCAAGAACGCAGGTGACTTTGCATCTGTCACGCCACCTCGCTGCGCCTTAGTAAAATGAGAGAGCTGGACTGGATCATCTCTCGGGTTCCTCCCCTCTCTCCAACAATTATTCTAAATGGGAAGAACTCAACCAGTTTGTTGATTTTAAAAGCATTTATTTAGTGCCATTTGTTTCCATGCTGGGTTCTGGGCAAGGGGCTAGAAAAGTTGACTTTCACACATAACCCTAGTGAACTACATACAACATATACAGAAGCAGTGCAGATGTCCCACGAAACAGACAATGGTCAGTCACACAAACGATCCCCTGGAGCCAGAGGGGGCCGGGTCCCCTGAGGGCGGCCCAGGTGGGGCCTGAGACAGGCAGCTTCACCCATCTGGTGGTTCAAGTGTCCAACACTTCTATCTTGCCTCTCCTTCCTCCTGGTTTAGGAAGCTTAATATTCTCCACAGTGACCTCTCCAGTTATGCTGTTTTCATCCTCGCATTCGGAACTCTCTCCTGAACTGAGGTCTTCAGAATCAGAGCTGCTCACCTCCACCACCGCCACGTCCTGGAAGATGGATCACAGCCAGCCACCAAGGTCACAAAAAGGATCTTTCCCTCTGACCCTGGGATCCCCTCCCTGGACATCCCAGAACCCCCAAAAATGTCACCATCAAGTTAAACAAAACGAAAAACCGAGGGCTAGCATTTCAGAAATGTTCTTATCTTAGGAGCACTCTGTATGTGCAAAGACCTGGAAACTGAAATGCCCCAACGTTGTGAGAAGCCTTATAAACCAAGGCATCTCTACGTAATGGAAGACCTTGCCTTTCAAAGTGAAGAACACAAGGGATTATAAAGATGTCTGCAAAGGCTGACGTGAAATAATGCCAAGCAAAGAAGGGAGACCAGGCAGCGTATGCGCTGATGACTAGAGGAAAAGAAGCCGCTGCAAACAAACAGCCAAAACACACGGGCCAAGGCAACAAATAGGTTCAGAAAGGGAATAACTAACAAGCTGTGAGGACTCACCATCTGCAGAATTCATATTTTAGTATAAATAGTCAATAAACGTGTATCTGTGTTTAGTGTCATTTAGAGATAACTGCATCAGGCTTTTTTTGTAATCATGCAGACAGAAAGCCCGCTTCAGTATAATTTCCTAATTACAATACAGAAATCAGCGCTTGGTCTAACTTATCTCCAAGCCTGACACCGACCTTACACAAACAGCCAATGCTTCGGCATGAACCTTAAAAGTGCACCGACGTGCACGAGGCTTCTGGCTGCGCCCTCATTTTGGAGAGGGAGAAGCCAACACTAGTGAGGCCAAGGGGCTCCCTTCGCCTTCACAGACACCGCGGTGGGATTCGAATGCAGGCCCTCCTGTCCACAAAAAGCAGGGAGCTCTCTGTCTCTACGAATCAGAGGGCCCAACCCCAAACACAACCACAAATCTCTGTACTTCAATCAAAGAGGGGCTTCCAAAGCCACCAAGCACAATGGGCCTGCTGCACAAGAACCAAGGCACGCCAAGTACTCTTACCATTTCTATGGTTTTTTCCTGGGAGTCATCTACGTTTTCAATATTGAACAGGCCTGGAGGCCCTGACGCCATTTCCTCTCTTAGTTTTTTGTTTGCCTGTTCGATGTGAGGTAGGAAGTTCTTTACTCTTTCTAAAACTAGAGGAGGGAAAAAAGTAGCGTAAGGGCTGTGTGTATAATAAATGAAATGAGTGGTGACTTACGACTTTACTACTTGCCCAAACCTCACAAGCTCAAATCCTGTCTCTTTCAGAACTCTCTTAGAATTTAAAGATGTCATAAAATATTTATTATTAAAAATATAACTTTCTTTCTCATTTTAAGAGTGGAATTCCAAGTACCTACTATGAGCCAAGTACTAGGGATACAAAGATAAAATCCCTCTTCTGCCTCCAAGAAGCTTATATTCTATTGGGAAAACAAAATGTACACAGATAAGAAAAATAAAAGAGACAGACAAAGTACGTACAATGGGACAAGACAGAGAAGGTTAAGTTTTCTCTAAAGACTCATAGAGACAATCTTCAATTATTCAATGAGCTTTGAAGTAAAAATCAGGATAAATCTATTCTTTGAAGCCCAAAACACTACAAGTCAGGATAAGCACATTTCTAATTTATTTCCAGAGGTTAAAAATGATTAGATTAAGGAGACAATGAAACATCCTGGTGAGACAGACAAGGATATAGAACCTGGAGTCAGGAAAAGCTTTGGGATGCGGCTAAAATCAGAGTTTTCTTACTGTACTGACCCATCAACAATGAGGCTCATTGGTTAGCTCCATTAGCTGCGGTTAATTAACCTGGGGGTGAGCTCGCTTCTCATCCTGGCACCAAGTAGGTGCATTTTAAAATGCTTCACTGTTGAGTGATTTACAAACACATGTGAAAACCCAATTCATTCTACTTTCCCCTTCCACCTGCAATGTCCCGGCCCTGTCCACAACCATCTTTCAAAACCCTGCTCAACTCTCACCTTCTCCAAGCCCTTCGCCTTCTTCGAGAGGAACAAGGGAATGTAAGATCCTGGAGGGACGTGAGTTCTAAAGATGGCCTCGTCTAATGAGGCGCTTACAATGGAAGTTAACTTGGGGGTTTACAGCTGTTTTGAGAAAATTAAGTCTTACTAAAAAGTAAACCCCGACCATCAATACAAGCAACTAAACTTGCTTAATAGCTGTTGACATTTCACTTAATTAATTCCAAAGCATCAAGTCTCCCAAGAGTTCTTTGGTCACTCTTAAGTCATCCCTAGAATTCCATCTCATTCACTTCGCCTCTGGCCTGGTTGGTCACAGGGCATCCTCCATTCTGCTGGCTTGGCTTTTTCAATTCACAATAGTTAAAATCAATTGGAAACAAAGTGGGTGCCAAAAGACTGAGGTCAAGCTATGACATGGCAGGACTGGAATCCTACTATGCTGGAAGAAATGGCAAATATGAGAATGCAGAGAAAATCTGGAGGATATGGACTTGGGAAGGACTTTTAAACACACATACAGAGAGCTGAAGCCTGTGAAATTAAGCTTGGCCACAATGAATAGGTGAGAAAATGTGGCCCCCTACTCTCTTTGCAGAGATGGTGGACCACTGAGTATGGAATGCTGCATACACTGTTGGGCTCTCTTGATTGCGTTCTGGGAAGAATGTATTTGGAAATAAAGGTGGTATAAAAACAAAATATCAAAGAAAAAATTTTAAGACAAGAAAAAAATTCAATTTGTAGGAACAAAATGGATGCTTACCAATTGGGGAATGGCTGGACAAATTTTAAGTATATTAACGTTAATAAAGATTTATTCCATGAGAAATAACAAATATGAGAAATTCAGGAAAACATGGAAGGCTTGCATGAACTGATGCAGAGTGAAACAGGGTGGACCTGAGAAGTATATGACGACTACACTTTTATTTACACACTGCCAATAAAAGGAATACTAAACAAAACTGAATTGTGTGTGATTAGACCATGACCAATTAAGGCCCTGGAAACAGAGAAGAGCAAATGCCCTGCCCGCCTTTCCTTGGAGAGGTGGGCAGCTATGGGTACAAAATATAGTCATCAAGTCAGCTGGTTTTGCCTTATTGGCTTTTTTTTCTTTGTTACAAAAAGAGGTGGGAGGAGTGTCAGGGTCTGAAAATGACTATAATATAAAAAGAAAAAACATCAATAAAACTAGTCTTTTAAATAAATCAGGAGATGATATGGATGAAACAGGATATAATTATTATTTAAAGTTAGAAATCACATTTTAAAGACAATTGTTAAATAGTTTGGAGCTGGTGAATTTATCTATTATTGTGTATTTACCTGAATTCTGTTACTAAGTTTAGAGTAAAATTTGTTAAAGAAAAAAGAAAGTTAATTTATACATGCCAGCTTTGGACAGCAGGGTGGGGAAGGCGGCTGTTTGTCTCAATACATGGTTAAGTTTGTGAGAGACAGCTTATACATGTATCTCTCTCCAAGATGTAGCATGAGGCCTTGCAATTAAGAGCTTAATAAACATTCATTATGAGTGTGTCAGTGTGCATGGATGGGTGTGGTGGACATGGAAGGGTGGATATTAATGCTCAAGTCTACAAGTGCATATGTTTCTGGCTGGGGGATCAGAGGGGTGGTTGAATATAGTCTATTACTGTGGAACAATGAAAAAGACTTCCTGGAATCCTGACTGTGATGTTTTAATTCTATTAAAACCCTACCTGCTGCACTATTGGTCATACATGTAAAAAATCAAATGTTATGGGGAGAAGCGCTTTTTAAGGCAGTTACATGTCCTTCACAAAAACTGCATCCTTAGGACGCAATATTATTACCTGCCCCATCTCCATCTCCTTCTGCCATCTGCCTCATATACAACCAGAAGACATGAAACAAATCAAATGTATGACTTAGGAACAAGGCAAAGAACATTTCATGCTGCCCATCCCAGAGAAACAAGCACCCCAAGAGTGCCTCCTTCCCCCTACCAACAAAAAAAGGTCCTATTTGGGTCTCCCCATGATGCCCTGCACCAGCTTTGAAAAGCTACATGGCACGTTTTTCTAAATCAATCCGCTCCTCCTTTCCTACACCTCAGCAAGATTCCTTTCTGGATCCAAACAGAATCCTTCATAAGATTCTGAGGTTAATTTGGGTATTTATCATAGTCAGAATGACTTGGTTGCTCAAAGTTGTTCTAAAAACTATACCGCTCTTACTGTACACAGCGTTCTCTGGATTCTGCTCAGGCCACTCTCCATGACTTCGTCATATTCCACCACGAATATGTACCACAACTTGTTTAGCCATTCCCCAAGTGACGGGCATCCCCGAAACTGCCGGTTCTCTGACACCACAAAGATTTGGACTTAGGCAGCAAGATGCTGCCCACATTCAGAGAAACAGATGATGGGAGGAAAAAAGCACAGTACAGTCTTAAATATGTGTGTGTGAGTGTATATGTGTGTACATATATATAGATATGTATATGTGTGTCTACATATGTATATATCTATATGTGTGTATATGTGTACGGTTATAGATATCTATGTACGTCTACATGTCTATATATGTATGTTTACAGATATCTATGTATATGTGTCTACATATGTATATATCTATCTATATGTGTGTATATGTGTATGGTTATAGATATCTATGTATGTCTACATATGTCTATATATGTATGTTTATAGATATCTATGCATATGTGTGTCTATATACATATCTATGTATGTGTATGTTTATAGATATCTATGTGTGTTTACATATGTACATATCTATATGTACATG